AGTCGACTGAGAAGGTTACAGATGGGGATCATATGACCCCAGGACAGTGCAACTGTTATAAGTACATGCCAGTTGTCAAGTGTCCAACTTTTGTTCATATGACCATGAGGATGCTGCAATGGTCACAAGTTTGAAAATAGCAATAGCACTTAGAATTATATAGTGTTTCTTTTTGAAAAAGACAAAAGTGGAATATTGGAATGGGAGAGCGACAGATCAGAATTCTACCTTAGATTCCAGAATATAAAAGAAGAAAAGGGAGAAGATTTGGCAGACACAATGATAGAAATTCTGGCAGAAGCATTGGTGATAACCAAAGGGAAGTTGATGGAAGGAACAGCCGAGCGGTTTTGAGCCTTTACAAGATATGCAATGAAAAACGAGTTGCCAAGAGAAACCCATACAAGATCCACTAAGAAAGCAATTAGAACACAAATACTACAAATGGCAAGAGATATAAGATTGCACTACCTTGGATAGATACAGGATGATGTAATGAAATGCTATAATAAAAATTAATTTAAACTTAGTTAAACTTAGAATATTACGTATAAAATGAAGTAACAATAGTTATACTCAATGAAATGATTAACAAGAATAATAGTGTGTATGTGTGTGTGTGTATTGGATTGGATTGACAATATGAAATTTTACATAAATTGTAAGTGAGGACTATGGAGAGGATGCACAAAAGTTTTGTACTCAAAGATAAATAATTTTATACAGAATACAATTTAAAGATGTAATATTACTGGATGGTTTTGGGATGATGTGATGAAATGCCGGTTCAGTGCAAAGCGCGAGTGCGCTCACAAAGCACATGCACGCGTAATGTGTGCTTTGCATACCTGCGCAGCATTCAAAAACCTACCTTCTGTGTTAGCGCCAGTGAGTAAAACAGTTGACACGTGGCAATCCGCTGTGCCGCGTGAATCAGCTGAGCTTAAAACAACTGGGAAATATAGGACAGGAAAGAGCAGGGCAGGAGGGCAGGGCCAACTGCTCACTGGAAATACCGGTTCACCCGAACCAGTCCAAATTGGCTGAATCCCACCCTTGTTGATAAGTGATAAATGATTTGCTTCCCCTTGGTTCTGATTCCTAGTGATTGCATGGAAGCCCTTGCAGTTTTCTTTGGCATATTATAGAAGTGGTTTGCTATTGTTCTCTTTGGGGAAGTTTTTTGATTTCCCAATCTAGAGCTGAGAGAGATTGACTGGCCCAAAGAAACCCAGCTAATTGGCATGCTTAAATTGAGACTGGAGTCTGGTTTTCCGTGTTCCTAGTCTAGCACATCTTATCCACTGCACCACACTGGCTGTCACCCTGTACAAACTAAATGGACTACTTTCATTGGCAAATTACCCACACCAAGCAAACCAAGATTAACATTAACCAAGCTTTGAACCTTGTGTGAATGCAGCTGCTAGGTCTTTGCTGGCCTGGTTTATCGCATTAAGTGAACCAATATAAGGCAGACCGATAGGGAAGATAATTTTCAGCCGGATTTCAACCATAGAAATTTCATCCTAGTTAACTTTGTTATTGCCAGTCTTCCCAGGTAGAGGAGAAAGGAAACATGACCAGATAAATTAATTCTATTTTATTGTAAGGCTGCATGAACAGAATCTTGTAAGTCTGAAAGTACAAGTTTCTCGTGACCCGTCAAAACCGCGCTCGACTAAGCCACGCCCGATTAAACCGCGTCNGCTTCTATGGCTAAAGTGGAACTAGAACGCACCACCTCCTGGTGACTGGCCCAAAGTCACCCAGCTGGCTTTTTCACCTAAACTGGACTAGAGCTCACCATCTCCTGGTTTCCAGGCCAGCACCTGAACCACAACACCTTCCTGGCTCTCTTTGGGAAGCCTGCTCAGCGTGTGGATTCAAAGCTCGCGTCGGATTCAGAAGGCAACGTAGATGAGCCATCCTTGGCTTAAGGCAGGGGTCAGCAACCTGCGGCTCTGGAGCCGCATGCGGCTCTTTTCACCCCTCTGCTGCGGCTCCCTGTCGCTGGTCAGCTCCACAATTCATTGGGTTTTCGGTTAGGACAGTTAGAGGAAAAAGGATACCATACTAGGAGGAGACTCTATGATGGGGGAACCTGACTTCTGATGGGCTCCAGACTTGAACCGGTGGGGGTGGGGGGGCTTCCGGTTTAGGACCCTTGTGGCTCTTTGCGTGTTTAAGGTTGCTGACCCCTGGCTTAAGAGATAGCTGAGGGTAGCCGAGACTGGACCTTGCCCAGATGCCTTCCAGCTGTTCCATTGTGGAGAAGAGCTCGCAGGACCAAGGGGAAGAGAAAGAAAAGGGGGACAGCCAACATTGGGCGCACAGGTGTGCACCTTGCAAAAGCTGCAGCTCACTCCACATCTGGGACCCCTCAACAGGGGGGGATGTAAGAATTCTAGGAAATATTTGGGGCGTGGAAAAAAAGGGGACAGGAAGCCCCCCCACTTTAGCCCAGCCTAGAATTCCAGGGAAATGGGAAAGCAGGACATTGCAAGGAAAGGCAAGCCCAGGTGAGGCTCAGCAGTCAGGGGTGGGATGGAGGGGAGGCCCAGGCCGCTTCTTCGTCCCAGCATCCCAGCCCCCTCCCCCCAAATCTCCCCCCAACCCGGCGATCTTCCTCCGGTTTTTCCTTTCTGAATCCCCTTCCCCACCCAAGAGGGCGAAACAAAAGAGAGAGTCCCCCCTCCCCTATCACGTAGCCATTTACCTGGTTTCCCCGAGAACCGGCCGGTCTGACCCTCCCCCAGCTTTTTTTCCCCTCCCCCTTCGGCAGCCGTGCATGTGACTTCCGACTCCTCCCCTCCCCGGGCATTTGCAGCCGGACTCGGAGCAGCCATCGGGGGTTTCCTTCTGGCCCCGTTTTTTGCGCAGGGAAGAGGGGCGCACTCGAGTGGCGGGTTGGTGGGGGGGACGAGCGCAAGGTTGCTTCTTCCCCCTCCTCTCTCTGTTCCCCCCTTCTCTTTCCTTCTCTCCTAAGGCCTCTCTCTCTCTCTCGTTCTCTCTCTCTCTCCCTGCCTAATTCGGATCGGCCTCTCGCCTTCCTTAAACCGGATCAGCTCCTCTTCCTGCCATTGAATCGGAGCGCTTCTCCCCTTGGCTCCCATTTGCGCCGCCACCGGCGTTTCTCGCTCTCCCCTTGGGCCCCCTTTCTAGGCGGGGGGGGGGGCTGGAGAGGGGGCTGCTTTCCCTTGCCCGTGTCGGGGGGGGGTTCCTTGCTTGCAATTGCGACCCCCCGTCGGGGGGGGCGTGTTTCCTTGCTTGCAATTGCGACCCCCGAGCCCTTTCTCTTGTCTTCTCCCGCGCTCCCGTCCCTCTTGTGGGTCTCTCCAAGCGGGCTGGTAGGGGGCTTCGGAGAGAGCTAGAGGGGGGGGGTCTGCTTTCCTTGGCCGGGGAGGGGGGGTCTTCTTGCTTGCAACTGCGACCCCCGAGCCCTTTCTCTTGCCTTCTCCCGCGCTCCCGTCCCTCTTGTGGGTCTCTCCAAGCGGGCTGGTAGGGGGCTTCGGAGAGAGCTAGAGGGGGGGGGTCTGCTTTCCTTGGCCGGGGAGGGGGGGTCTTCTTGCTTGCAACTGCGACCCCCGAGCCCTTTCTCTTGTCTTCTCCCGCGCTCCCGTCCCTCTTCTGGGTCTCTCCAAGCGGGCTGGTAGGGGGCTTCGGAGAGAGCTAGAGGAGGGGGGTCTGCTTTCCTTGGCCGAGGGGGGGGGGTCTTCTT